TGCCCCTTTTATGCTCTTTGTGCACGAAATCTGCCAGCAGAGGAAGCGTGTGGAGCTGCCAGGAAATCCCTGCAGCGCCTTCAAGCTAACTCACAAGCTGCCAAAAGAAAGGTCAGCTGGAAATTACAGCCAGCTCCCTGCATGAGTTCAACTCAGGTACAAGGAGGGAATGAAAAAAACCAAAAGTCTACCTTTGCATGCACAACCCTTCCACAGGGCAAGAGCTGTGTGTGCAGCTGGAGGTGCAGGGAAGGGACAGCCCCATGGGGGTACAGGCACATGATGGACCTGCCCCTCTCCGGCTGAACAAGGGCAGAGCCACAGCAGGGGGGAGGAGAGGAGCAGGAGGCTCTGCAGAGCTGAATCACTCCATTATATTGGACCAAGAGAAGCATCTCTGTGTCCCAGAGCAGCGGGTACAAGCAGTGCCATTCTGTGCTCACTGCCACTTGATCCCCTGCACTGCTGACACCTACAGAAACCCAGCAGCCCCCACCCCTCCTGGCTTTCTTTGCAAAAGGAAAAATCAACACCAGTGAGCAATCAAAGTCCAAGTGGGAAAAGTAAATACCCTCTTAGCCTCTCCTCCAGGAGGCAAGTAACAACCCCCCCTGGGAGCCCTCGGTGGCTGAGTGACCTCTGTGGCACAGCAGCCTCTCCAGCAAACAGAGCAGTGAGAGGCTCTGCAGCAGCTGGCACACTCCACACTTCCCAGCAGCTTTGATGTAAAGAGCTGGAGTTCATTAAACCGTTGGCCTGTGTGTGATTGCCAAGGCTACAGCACAATCCCTTGCTCTTCATGGCTGCCTGCTGCCTCCAGCTCCTGCCCAGCCCTGCCAGAGCCTTTCCCAGAGCACAGAGGACACCCTGCTTGACTGGGGACAGGCCCTGAGGGGAGCAGGGTCCTCTGCAGCAGCACTTGTCACCAACCCGCTCCAGTGGCACAGCCAGGTCCTGCACACCCTGTTCCAAGGTGGGGAGAGACAGGAAAGTGCCTTAAGTGCCAAAGTGGGCATCTGGGTTATTTCAGGGCCTGCCTCTTTTTTCATGCAATGTACAGCCTTTAAAAAAAAAAAAAAAAAACCCAGAGCAGCGTGTAATACAAAAAGCAGTGTGTAATACAAAAAGCAGTATGTAATACAAAAAGCAGTATGTAATACAAAAAGCAGTGTGTAATACAAGCAGTAGCTGATGCCACAGAGGACAAGCTTCCCCCTCACTTATTTCAATGCAAAGGTGTGTGGGAGAAGTGTGGAGTCATTCTTAGAGGCTTAAAGAGCAATTTGAGCCTCAACAATTTTGCAAACCTCCTCTTCCCTTCCCCCCACGTGTCCTCAAAGAGCACAGATTGGTGTTTTTGAAAGTTACTGCTCAGGATGTGGGAAGGGATGGAGCGAGGCGGGCTGTTTGTCAGGCTGAGCCTGCCTCCCTGCACCACCCCCACAGGTGCCAGCACAGCAGTGGCACCACTGGAGCTGAGCCACTCACTAGGGATGGGCAAGACAGAGCCCCATTTGCTGTGTGGCCTTGGGGACACTGGGATCCTTCCTCAATCCAGGCCAATGCCATCAGACTGGATGAGCCCCTTTCAAGGGAGCTGGGGATGGTGTCAGAGGACAGCCTGGAGCTACCCTCTGCCCCAGGGCACAGCCTGGCTGCCAGTTTCCCCCCAGCAGGGACATGCTGCTCCTCCTCACCTTTTTTTTTTTTTTTTTTTAAATGTACTTCTTCAAAAAGAAGAGATAACAGCATTGCTGCAGTGGGGGAAGGCAGGAACAGAAGAGTCCTCTGAGGCAGAATCAAATTCCTCCCTTCCTCAACTCATTTTCGGCAGTGACATCCCCTGTGTGGATAAGGCCTCTGGGGGCATGGCAGGAAGGCAGCCCCTCCAGCTGACACCAGGGCCTTCCACAGCCCCACCCTCCCTCTGTTCTGCTGTTTGCTTTGTGGTGGGACAAGGTGGGCACAGCCACCCCTTACCTGGAATAACACAGATTCACCCTGGGGGGTTTTTGCATGGTTTTTATTCCTCTGCAGGACCATGCCAGATGTCACCATTAACCTTTGCTTGTGGTGCTCTGTCACAGGTGGCTGCTGGTGCTGGCCAGGGCAGGAGCTGTGTGCTGGCAGTGTGGGCCAGCAGCTGGGCTGGCCTCATGCTCCTTTAGGAGTCCTTGCTTGGAAATGCTTCCAACTCCCCTAACTCACCCTGGGCTCCTGCCACCGCCATCAGTGACCTCCCCACCCCACACCCCAAGAGCCAGCAGGCCAGCCTGCCTCAGTTTCCCCTCCCAGGTGGCTCAGCCCTGCAGGGAGGCACCCAGGGAATACCCACATGGGGCACTCCATCTGTCTGGGGCTCCTTCATGCTTTTTTCAGGAAAGGCCAGGACAGCTGAGAGCTATTCCTGGAAAGCCTAAAAATGCCACAGCTGAGTCAGCATCGAGGCTCTGTGTGCACAAGGCCATCAAGGGCTCCCCCAGCACAGCCCTGCAGGGCTGGGCTGTGCCAGGGCACTGTGCAGCCCCTCAGAGGAGGCAGACAGACAGGCAGACACAGAGGCAGGGACGTGGAGGAGCAGCCTGGCTCCCTCTGCTCCACCAGCCCAGACACGCATCAATGTCACAGGGAGGGCTGTGACAGCAGACAGCTCTCTCTGTCCCTGTGCCGCAGGCTGGAGCAGTGCCAGCCCCCAGGGCTTTTGTTCCACATCCCTGCAAGCCAGCACAACAAATGTAAGGGTCAGCTTCAAAGCCATCTCTGCTGGTGGACTCGGGTCTAAAGGCAGCATTGACACTGTCCCATCTCCATCCCACTGCTCCCAGGGGTCCAGCTGTCCCGTCTGGATGCAGACATGGGACAAACCTGCAAGTCCAGGGTAGTAATTCCTGAGCATGAAGGGCAAATCCCTCGTGGCTGCAATCCCACACGCACAGGGACTGCCCACCCTCTTCCCCTCTGCTTCCCTGCAGCTGGGAACCAGGCTGAGAGCTCCCAGCAGTTGGGTCCACACAAAAAGCTGGACACAAAAAGCTGAAGATCAGAGGTCAGTGACTGTGAGTACCTAGCACACTGCTCCAGACCAACTGATGATACCTTGGCTGTGCTTTCCTCACAATCTCACTGCAGCTCTGCAAGGCAGGACAGGAGCAACAGCACAACACACCTCAGTTTCCAAACACACAACTCCACAGGGACAGATTTTCCCTTCAATTCTCCGAAGGTAAATAATGCACTGCTGTATCTTGCCTCACCTGCCTGCAGCTGTGGCAGCTCTGGGAGACACCAGCTGGCCCATTCAGTCCCACTCACAGCCCAGGCTCGTGGCTCTCCAGTGACCAGCTCCAGTGCAGAGCCAGCAGCCCAGCCCTGCTGCCAGCCCCAGGCACCCGCTCCAGGCTGGCAGAGCCTGTGATACCAGTGGGTGACAGACAGCAGCACTGCCCTGGGAGGTATACAGGAGTCTGGGCCCCAGAAAACCAACAGCCAATAGACCAGGGTTTTCCACAAACACTTGAAGAACTGCGACTACCAAATTTTGGCCACATTTGGATGTCAGGGCTTCAAAGGGCACACTTCAGCACATGGCTTTTCTTTCCATCCTTCCCAATTCACTCTAGTCCTAGTTATCAAGGGGATGGCTCCCAAGGGCAACCTCACAAGAACTGACTGCCAAAGCAATTATCAGAGTTTTCCAGAGGCTGCAGACCTAACAAACAGCACACCCACCTCTTCCCACTCCACCTTCCTGCCTGGCTTTTGCCACTGCCCAGCTTGCCCAGCACACAGATCTGACCACAAGATCACAGCTCTCCACCAAATCATTAAATATTAGGAACAAAAGTTGGAAGGGGCATTTTTCAGTACAGTTGCAGGTTTAAACCTCTCCACAAGTCCACACCCACTTGCAGCCTACAACTCCCAACTCTTCTAAGCCCAATGGCCTGTAGCTCCTTACAGAGCCCCTGTGACTGTGTCCCCACCCTGACATCCACAGCTGGGCTCTCTGTGCTCAGCACATCCAGAATCGGGCAGGAATGCTTCCCACAGCCCGCCCAGGCAGTTTATCTCTGACTGCAGCCCCCAGGCTGTGATCCAAGAGCCAGCCAGCCAACTGTCTCCCTTGGCAGGGACCTGAGAGCAAACAGCCCTCTCACCAGTTGCTGCAAGAATGAGTTCAGTCTCCCCACGATGCTAAAAACTCTGCTTGGAAAATTGCTGAGCTAGCAGAAACTGCCATTTCAGTTTTACCCATTTCCTGTTATTTGACAAAACAGTATCAGAGGGCTGAGCTCCTGCTACCCTGGGCTTTTGCTATGTTCCTGTTACAGCCAGTGCCTTCAGCAGGTGAATACTACTAGCACATCTTGATTTCAACAGGAGCCAGGGCACAGCATGAATTATTTGTGGTAAGGCTGACCTATTTAACAGCAGAAAGACAGCATTCATTCAGACACAGATCCCCCAGAGGCTGCTGGTGTCACTTTACCCACAGGACAATACAATCCCATCACTATCTCTGTCCATCTCACTGGAAGCAGGGGTAACTGTCCTAGGCTGATCCTGCCACACTCTCAGAGCTTCTCCTGGAGCACAAGTGACACAACCACAACCCCCTGCACAGCAAACCACTGGCTTCTGCTGACCAGCTTTGATCAGTGTTTTGTGAGCACCACAAACACACATGGGAAGCAGAGCAGGGTGAATTTACAGAGTATTGAAACAGGGAGCAGTCCCTGTGACAGCTCTGCTTCAGGCAGACCAGGGCCAGAGGATGCCAGCAGTGTTTGCAGGGTAGCTGCCAAGTTCTGCTCAGGATCCTTCCCTGAACAGCTCCTGCTAAGCTCTTGTAGTCTCTAATCCTGGCTCCCATCCTCTGTGCACAGGCCAAGGCAGCCTGTGAGGGGTATTTCACATAGAGAGGATGCTGAAGTCTTGGTGATAGGTTTCTGTAAAGCTTTTCTGAACACAGATCTGCACCAGGCCTTTGAGGACCATACCTTTGTCTGCCAGGGACAGCGTGCTGTTGAAGTACTGCTCCTCCACAGTCCATGCTGTGTCATTGATCTTGTTGGACACCCCACAGGACCCAATGCAGCTCACCTTGATGGCTGTGGAGAGACAGGACACATGTCAACACTGGGAGAAAGCAAAACCTCAGGTACTGCACTGTGCAGGAGCAGTGCCTCATGAAAACACACACAGGGTGGGAAAATGGAGCAGAGGAATCAGGTCATGCTTTCACTCCAAAAGCAGGTTTTCCAGCATTCCCAGCACAACTGAGCACTCCCTGCTACCCCAGTGCTATTCCTAGATATTGTCATCTTTGAAACCCTCAAGCTGGTTTCCTTGCACTGTGGAAGCCCTTAGCAGCAGTGATTGCAGCTCCCTGACAGGCAAACCTCTCTCCCAAATGAAGCAGCGTTCCCTCCCAAAACATGCACCAGCCTTGGCACTCTGGCTGAGAGCAGAAGCCTTGGGTGTCACTGTCCAGACAGGGATGAGCAGCCAAGGACTCTGCTGCCTCCCACCCCACGAGGAGCCAGGCATCCCACCGAGTGTCTCACCATCCCTGTGAGAGACACATTTGGCACAAGCCCATTAACCAGATGAACAAGGGGTTCAAACAGCCCTGTCTGAGGCAACAGCAGAGAGCTGAACCCCCCAGTACAGCCTGGACAAGCTCTCTGCTCCTTGAATTCAAGCCCTGAGCACTGTGACCCTCAGAGGACATTTCCAGCCCCTGGGAGCCTGCCCCCAGTTCCTGGGCTCAGTCTCATCTTTAATGGCATGCAGAAAAAATCACTTTGCCATTAACTTGTCCTGCATCAGGACCTCCAAAATGTCCATCCACACATCACTTCCCAGCCAGACACCAGTTCTAAGGGAGTGGCTTCCTCCTCTGTTAGAGACACAGCACTCAGCAAAGCCACACAGCAAGGCCTGGAAGCATCAGTGGTGCTGTCTGACCCTCCCAAAAGCAAGGACAGTAATTTGAGCTATGTTTGTGCCTTGCCTGGAGAAAGTCACCCCAAGAGCTCAGCCTGCAGCACGGCTCTCAGAGGAGCTCCCCACAGGCATCTTCAGTTAGTCTTGGCCAATACTCAGCAAGATGAAATTAGATTCTGATGTCGACACCGGACCACAGAGACAGACAAACGTGACAGACTGGCCTTGCTGCGCAGCAAGAGATGATCTGCACTGCTACCCCCACGCAGGGAGGACACAGGCAGACCTATCGTGGCACAAACAGTGTGCAGGGCTGTCCCAGCCTGAACATCTGCCACCTGAATCCCATCAGGTTTTGCAAGATCTTAACTGGAGCCACAGAACTCCCTTACCCCATTGGCCAGGTGAATAGGTCTGCTGGCAGAAAGGTGACAGGATCCACCAGACAGACACTTTGCCTGTTTGACCCATCTGCTCCCCTGTATTCCAGCTGTATCCACAGGAAGCATCTCCCTGGGAAGAAGGTGGCCAGTTTGCCTTGGCTTAGGAGCTTTCCTCTCACCAAGTGTTCTCAGCCCTCTTGATATCAACACCTCCACCCACCTACCCAAACACCGAGGGCTGCATGTTATTGCTGCTTGCAAACACCTCAAACAGCTCTCCAGAGCACCTGCCTGGCCAATGTGACCTTGTCTTCCACACTGACTCAAGACAGGAACCCCAAATCAAGCCCTCTCTGCAGGGGCAACACATAGCTCACACCCCAGTCACAGCGAGGGGGGTCATGCAGACAGGTGGAATGAGCTCCTCAGGGCTTAAAGTCTATAATCCCACAAGGAAGAAGAGCCTCCCCCATCACATCTCCTGCCATGCCCTCACAGCTGATCATGACTGTGAGATGAAGAGCCCCTTGCAGTCCAAGTGTTGTTCTACACTCAAGGATGAAGGATAAGCAGCTCCAGATGCCAACTCTCATTATCCAAACATCGATAGAGCAGCGAGGCTGACACATCACTGCCTTGTGTCTGGGATGTGCTTCAGCATTTGCAAGGCAGGGAAAGAACAGGATAGCATGGCCTGGGATGGGAACTCCCCCACCACAGCACAGAGCACACCTGAGCTGATACAGGTGTCCTCCCGAGGTGAACCATCACAATGAACCCTCCCCACATCCCCAGGTGGTATCCAATACTCTCTTTTGGCAGGTGGCAGAGCCAAAGCCAAGGACAGGCCTCAGCATCAGGAGCAGGAAAGGTTTTAGCAGGGTGGTGTCATGTGTATCTACACATTGGTGCCAAGCTCCCACCTCGGACATACTGCCACATCTCTGGGCTCACAACAAGCCTGTCCCACTCTGAATTAGCCCACAGAACACAGATGGATCCAGTCAAATCAAGCCCAGACTCACCCACTCCGTTCCCTCATTTTCACACAGGAGATGCAAGCAAGAAAAGCCCAGCCAAAAACTGGAGAACGTTCACATCCTTCAGGAGCAACAGCCCCTGAGCAGGCTCCCCCTCAGCCTCCGTGCACAGCAGGAGTTTATAGATCACCACCATCTGCTCAATGCCCAGATAAGGGTCGCACAGGCTCCGATTGCAGCCCCATGCTGCACTGTGGTGAGGAGGCTCTCCTGCTCCAGGGAGGCAGGTGGGTGGGAATGCTCAGGAGCACAGGCTGTGGCACAGCTCCCTTCCCACAGCAGACAGGCTCAGCAAGCAGAGGCAGTGGTTTTGCAGTCTGACACCCAGAGCCAGTCTGCGGCTGGGGCCCTCCTGCCATGGTCAAGCACCAGGGCTAAAGTCAGACCATGTCCAAAAATTCCTCTACAGCTTACTGAGGAGTCTTCCAGCAGAGGAGCTGTCAGCTCCAAGGTTTCCCAGTTAACCACTGACATCTCAAACTGGCATGGTCACAGCCAGCCTGTGCCTAGAGAGGAAGGCCAGTCCCTGGAGGGATTGCTCTGGGGCTCTGAGGGGTTCCAGACCTTCAGCCCCACCAAGCCCTCTCCAGCCACATTCCCTGACCGTCACACACCTTGGAGTTGCCATTCCAGCCCCAAGCAACAGAAAGCAGCATTTCAGGCTGAAAAGGTTGAAGGAATTTCACTCTCCCCTTCCCTCTATGCTCCCCAAAGTTCCCAGTGTCCCCTCACCAAGGACACCAAGTCACCACACTTGGGACAAGCCTTGGAGCAGTTCAGGGGGCAGAGATTTGTAACAGAGCATCTTCTCCAACCTGCTCCAGACACATGAGCTCCCCCTTACCTCACTGGGGAAAAGTGGGGTGGACAATAGCTCTGAGCTATTGCCCCACAGCTGACAGTGTGGCTGGACACAGGGATTGCATAACCCACCTCATCCCCCAGACTCCTGGAGGAGCCAGCAGATCCCCAGGCCCCTGCAGGGTGGGTGATGCTGGGGGCAGCAGGTCCAGGAGAGCCAGAGAGCTCCCCAGTTTCATGCCCAGAGCAGGAAAGACTGGAAGATACAGGGCCAGGTTATTTGGGAGGTTTCAGAGGTGTCTGGTTCAACAGATCAAACCATTCATCTCACTCCTAACCAGGTTTTGGAACAGTGGACCATAAAATCAGCCTCTCCATGAGCATCCCATGGGCAGAGGGAGATACTGGGGACTTGCCTGGCTCTCTCTTGTACAGGCTCCTGCCCACAACAGGAGGAGGGACATGGATGTGTGACAAGCACAGCTCAGGCACGTGGCTATGGGGGCAGCTAGAACCCAAAAGCATCACTTGTCAGGATGGACCTGGCGAAACCAGCACCATCACAGCTGCTGCAAGGGAGCCACCTGAGCACAGAGCTTGTCAGCCTGCTTGTCAGGAAGCAAAATGCACAGTCTGAGCCTTTCCAAGGAAATCTTGGAACTGCCAAGCTGGAGACAGAGGAAATAAGAATAGTTTGTGCATCAGAATAGGCCAGTTCCAGTTATTAGAGACCCATTAAAAATGCCTCTGGAATCCAGTGCTACCAGTGGCCCCAGTCACCTCCCTTCTGCTCCCTGTTTACCCAGGCTGATTTGAATAAATACAGGAAAAAAAACAAAGTCCAAAAACTGTAAAGGGAGGGGAAGGGGGAGGGAAAGAGAAGAAATGAATGATGAAGCCATGCAGAAGGCAAGAGCCCTTCACCCCCAGAGTCCCTCAGGGACTCAGGGAAGAGGACAGCTCCACATCCAGCCAGACACATCTTTAGCAACGCACTGCAGCACGCGCCAAATGCTGGAAATAAAAGGAGACAGCTCAGCCATATCCATCTCTGCACAAAGTAAAAATAGAGATGCCAGGAGCTGGGCACGTCTGCCTTCTTCCAAGGTGATTTAAGGAGAGCAGCCATAGATTTCAAATTGCTTTTTCTCCTGACCCAGTGAGTTGTCCTCCTCAGGGGAGCTGGTGTGGCATCTCAGGCATGAGGAAAGGACAGCACACACATCCCCTCCTCTGCCAGGGGCAGGTTGTGTGCACATCCCTCCTTCCAAAATCCAGCCACATGCTGAGCAAGCAGAGGCTCAATGGTCACCCTGCACTCAGCCCCAGTGCCAAGTGAACACCCCTGACTTTCAAGTCCCACCTGTGTCACACACCTGCTACAACAGGTATGGGCAGAGGGGGAGGGAAGAGGCTGCTGCATCTTGGTCAGTTTGGAGCTTCTAGGCTGAGTAGAGGAAGCAGCAAAACTGGTTCAGACAATCATTGACTACCCTGAGCTGGAACAGACCTGCCAGGATCACCCAGCCCAGCCCCTGTCCCTGCCCAGACCCCCCAACAAGCCCACCCTGGGCATCCCTGGCAGTGCTGTCCAAAGGCTCCTGGAGCTCTGGCAGCCTCGGGGCCGTGCCCATTCCCTGAGGAGCCTGGGCAGTGCCAGCACTCTCTGGGGGAAGAACCTTGCCCTAATCTCCAGCCTGAGCTGCCCTGGCCCCTGACAACCTGACACAGCTGGAGGTGGTGGCTGTTGCAGTTGGCAGCAGCTCAGGCAGGACAAACAGACCCTCCTGTCATTCCCTTTCCTCCGAAGGGACGGACAAAGAGCTGGCAACCAAGCTGTGAAACGGCACTTACAAACAGCCTGGGATTTTGCCAGCTGAAGCTTACCCAGGTCACCACGTGGCCTCAGCCATGTCTGCTGCACCCAGAGGCTCCAGC